GGCTCTCATCTGTATAATCCTATTTATTCTCTCTCTTATACATGTCACTCTCACAGGCATAAATGCAAAAGTCAACTTCTTACTGCTTCCTGTTCTTGTCTATTGTAAGCCTCCCAGACTTGGGACAGTGAGATTGGTGGCATATAAATTTAATAAACAAGTAAGCAGATGTTTCTGCAAGATAAGAAAATGAAAAGAAAAAGATTAGGATAGATATGGGGCAAAAAGAGAAAAAAAGAAGAGAAAAGGTGGAATAAAACATGCAAATGAGAGGAAATGCAGTAGCTAGGAAACAAAAAAGAGAGAGAAGCCCTGCAGAGGTTAAGATACAGAAGGGCAAATTTACCAGGTAAACAGCCTCTCCCAGCAACAGCTATTCTTCAGGTTTTCAACATCCCTGCTCTATAGAACCAGCGTCAACAGCCATTTATGCCTATTGACCACTCCAAGAGCTTTTTCAAATAAGCCCTAACAAATAACAAATATTTGCCTTTTGCCTGGAGATTTTTTTTTTAGATGCTAAAAATTTGGGCACATTTAATTTTATACATATGTTTCTAGAGGTAACTACATCACCACCTACTTATTATCAACTTCTAATTTCCTCAGCTAATTGAAGGAACAGGTTATCAATTCAGGGGAAAAAGTAAAAGCTGAATAAAGCATGAAGCTAAGATTTGAAAAGAGGTGTGAAGATATTTGGGGAGAGAAGTCTATATATTAAAAAAAACATTAATATAAAATATCTAGCGTGATCAGTACAGTAGTCCTTGACTTAAAACCGTTCATTTAGTGACCGTTCAAAGTTAAAGGCACTGAAAAAAGTAACTTATGACCATTTTTCACACAACCATTGCAGCTTCCTCATGGTCATGTGATTAAGCTTTAGATGCTTGGCTAATATTCAGACTCATATATGATGGTTGCAGTGCTCTGGAGTCAAGTGATCACCTTTTGTGATCTTCCTCATTGAAGTCAATGAGGAAGCCAGATTTGCTTAATAACTGTGTCACTAACTTAACAACTGCAGTGATTCATTTAACAATAGTAATTCATTTACCAATAATTGCAAGAAAGGTCAAAAAATGAGACAAAATTCACTTAGTAACTGTTTTGGGCTCAATTGTTGTGAGTTGAGGACTACCTGTAATTCATTGTTTCATTCATCATAATCCAGGGGTGTCAAACTCACGTCGTCATGGAGGCGTCATGGGAATTTTTTTTCCCTTTGCTAAATGGGGCATGGGCGTGGCCAGCGTGTGACATATCTGGCCCATGGGCTGGGAGTTTGACAGCCCTGTCATAAGTCATAAAGTGTGAACTTGCAGTTTATACATTGAGGGGTATTTCGTCCCATATTGGTTTGGATCAGTTTAAGCAAAAGCAAATCACTTTATGGATTTTTTACAACGTGTAAAGACCAAAGAACCTTACTTTCCATTTTATATTGTTTTCTATGCAAAGTTTTTGAAGCATCTAGCATACCAATTCAGTATGCCTAGAAAAAGAAGTAAGAGGGAGAGAGTTGTTTTGTTCCTGCCAAATGGCAAGCTATCAAGTAAGAGGATTAATGCAATTTTAAAATGCCCAATTATTTAACAGAGTCTCATCAATTCCAATTCTCTACTATAATATATAACCATCCTTGAAGAGAATTTATCATATAAATAAATTCATAAATTAAAGTTGTTTTGAAAAATAAGTCTCTAATCCACATTGCCTGATTTTAACAGGTCAGAAGCCTAAATCAATCTCTTTTTGTTTGTCAAATAATTTAAATGCCAACACATTGTAGAATCTTTTCACTTTTAATTATTTTACTACTATGCTGTTTAGAGGATATTAAAAAATATAGGTCACAGGATATGAACAGCAAGAATTCAGTGATGAAAAAAGAGCTTTATTTTTCATGAATTTCTGCTGACATTTAAAGATTAACAAATTTCTTCAGTAGGAAGTAGGTTTCTTATACATACTGTGTAACTAACCCAACTGAGTGATCTTGAAATGATAAAGTAGCACAGAACTCTTTCAGTTTGTAAGCAAGAAATAAAATAGGCCATGTTTCCAAATGCTAACAATGACCTTAATCCTTGCAGTTTTTCTGTAATTTTGGGAAAGCTCACATGAAAGATACATCACTGTAAAAGTAAATGTTTCCTATCATATTTAAATGTCAATTTTTTTACATATTTAAATGCCAAAATTTTTACCTATACTGCAGCAAACTCTTTAACTTCTATTAGTTAAATGTCCACAAGAGGTTGAACAGATTGTACTCTATCCTTGGTCTGTGCAGTAAAAACAATCCCTTCTGCCATTGTCTCTGCCAGTCCACTAAGCCAAAAGGGTCAGAGACCATTGTTCAAGTGTTCCAGATGTTCTTGCGAAACACACACATACAGAAACACTCAACTGCAACCTTACTTTTCATAACTTGATTCCAGTATTCCATGACATCATTATTCTGTATGGGAAGAAGTATTTTAAGAGTGATGTTCCTGTTTCCTGCCCCCTTCTTCTTTTCTTAAGGTTAAATAACTGCATCTTCTTAAGCTACTCTTCAGAGGATTTATAAGCTCTCTAATCATTTTTAACTAGTGTTTTCTGAATTTCTGGTGTTTTTTTTTTGTTTGGTTTTGTTACAGTCTAAAAATGTGCCTTGAGAAAGGCTGTGATTCAGGCATGGTAAGGTAGAAATTCCATTATTCAACCAAGAGAGCCAAACTTGCAGATAAAAACAGTTTTTTGAGGAAAGGAAAATGCAGGAAAGAAGGGGAAGCAGAGACTTCCAAATAGTAATCAGCCTAGCTAAATTAGTTGCTTCTTACCATGTTGAATGAGCTCCTAGGATTCCAGATGTGTTCAGAGTTCATTAGAGAAAGTGTTTGGAGAGAAATTGTCCCAGTAAATGCCAATCAGCATACAAACTTCCCAAATACTTATCATCTGCATCATAGAGCCGTTTTTGTCTGTCTCTGTTCTATCATATGTTGTTCAAGAAATATTTTGTGCTTCCTTATAGTTCCCTATGTCATTTCATTGAATTGTTGTAGTACAGGTAGCCCTTGTTACTGAAAGCCTCATCAGTGTTTTTGTGTATCCCCAGTGGGAATAGATTAGACTTGTTGTCCAAGTAAATGATAAATGGATTTTTGCTCATGTATAAAATAAATTTTCTCATGGCCTTGTTAATTACAACTGTTTACCTGGAAAAGAAGCCCCACAAAGAATGAGGAATAATAGCCAACCTTCTTGTGGTACAAATATAGTGAGATATATGGATACAGTTTTAAAAACACAGCTTTGCTTTTACCTCAACTACAGTGAAAATTATTTTAGTCATTCTTCTTGGTAGCAAAATATATATCTTTACCGTGCATGAACTTAGTTCCCAAAATAGCCATACTATTAAGGAAACACACATGGTAGATGAAAGAGAAATAATTTTCACCCATGACAATTGTAGTCCAGTCTGGGCTTGTGATGACACTGTCAAGTTGTTAATGTGTTATTTCATTCCATCTAAGTTCTGCTCTAGTGTCATAACAAGCCTCTTCTTTTTTTGAAATTGTAGTGCTCTCATCTGAAGGGATCTTCCTTTTGTCCGTTTTGCATATACAAAGGCAAACAAGTACTGCATCACTTCCTTGACCCGGGACCCAAGATATATAGTTGAGTAGCATCACCATATTGGTGATACCTCATTCAGTGGTGACAGATGTTCTCACTGAGAGGTTTCATGTAGAGGTTAAAATGATGTGGAGAGAACAACCAAGCCCTGGGGCACTCCACAAAGGAGGGGTCATGAATTGGACCTCTCACTCCTTATTCACCAATTAGGACAGTCATTGGAGGAAGGAGGTGAACCAGAAGAAAACTGCCTCCTGTCAATGTCCACCCCTATTTCAACTACTTGAAATCTGAATAACGATGATCTAGTTGTATTAAATTAAATTATTACATATTTTTCATAACAAAATAGGTTCTTTCAGCAATATTATAAAATAACTAAATTTTAATAAACAATTTGTTTTCCTTAAAGGCTGTATTTAATTAATATCTGCTATCTGAGAAATCAGACAGGTTAGTTTTCAGAATTTTCTCTGCTCAAATGCCAACTTAGAGGATTTTTTTTGTCAGTGTATATAAAAAGGGTGAAAATTGTAAAAATAATTTTCTTCTAGGTCTGAGATAGCATCCCAGCTACAATTAGCAAAGATAAAGTCAGAAAATAAGACATATTCAGCAGGAATCACACTGGCTAAATTGTTCTCTTTGATTAAACAGTGCTATACACAGAATTGTGTAAAAAGCTTACACTCTTTTTTAAAAAGCTGACCTGATACACATAGCCTCTTAAATTGCTTTTGCAGTTTGTATCTTCTCTTTTCTGGTTTGGTAATTGCAGCTTACTTGGAATACCTGGGCAATTTGTGCTAATTGCTGAGAGATTTACTTGCTAGCCATAGAAACTGATTATTTCTGCACTTTTATTTATTTATTTATATTTCATGTTTCTAGATCCCCTTCAAGGAGGGGCTCAGGGCAGTTCAGATGTTTGTTGCTGAAATACTTAGGAGAAAATCAGGGCCATTTGTTAAAAGTTAAATTGGATTCTGACACTAGGATTTTACATAAAAATTTCTAAAATGTTAAAGAAATATACAAAGTTAAAATTGAACATCTGTTTTCCAACTGGAAACGATTCTAGAAGTTATCAGAGAAAAGATTTTTCCACCTGTGCTGTCTAGATAATCATTGATTGAGGTTCCAGTAATGAATTTTAGATCACTTGTATAGAATACATGTGTTTGCTTCCAAGACAATTTTAAAAACTTTAGAATCTTTTATAGTTGACAAGTGAATTGCTAATCAAAAGAGATGATTTTACAAGCAGTACTGATCCCCATATTTTATAATATCAGTTGATAGCACTGTTTATATTATAGACCCTAATATTAACAGTGAAAATTATTTTTCATTTGTTTCCCCTACAGGCAGAACTCATAAAAGGAAATTCGCCAAGTATTGGACTCACTCTGCGTCAAACACAAGCTAAAGAAGGAGAAACAGGTCGTGTTGTTATTGAAACTGTTACACCAAACTCTGCTGCTGCTGCTGCTGACCTTCAGAGGGGTGACAGGGTGTTATTTATTGGAGGTATGCAGTGAAACTACATGGACTACGCTCAATAAGATCTGCTAAGCTGCATGTAACTGGGGAAGTGCTCAGAAGGGATAAAAATTAAGTGACATTATAGGGAACGTATTAAAAAGAGTTTCATCCGTCCTTTATCAGTCACAACCAAGCAGGATCTTAAACAGTTTTGTTATATTGAGGGCATTAGTGCCAGGGGTGGGACGCTACCGATTCTGCCCTGTTCTATGGAACTGATAGCTCTGAAGAGCAGCAGAGACCAAACCAGTTCTGTGTTTGCTGCTGTTTGGCCCACCCAGCCACCCGGGCTCTTACCTGTCCTTGATTTCCTGCTTTTTCAACCTCAGGTGCTTTGCGCGGCACAGCTGAGGTTGAAAAAGCAGGAAAAAAGAGGCTTTTCAAATGCTGCGCACCTGTGCTCAGTGCTTTTCAGCTGTCCGGGCGGCACAGCTGATTTTTTTTTAGAAACGCGCGCAAAACATCACCGAACCGGTAGTAACACCGGTTGAATCCCACCCCTGATTGGTGCCCTAATGAAACAATGCCATAACTTGTTTTCTTAGGAATGCCATAATTATATTTTAGTGTAGTTTTTAAATATATTTTTCTCAACATTGAAGGGGAATTATGTTTGGAGAATAGAAAACACATAAACATTTCAGAAAAACTCAAATCAGTATTTGGTGTCAACTTTGGTAGCTGTTGAGGAAATGATTTTCATTCAGTAGAAGAGATACAAACAATTGTGTGCCTAGGTAACTCTTCATGTAAGATTGTTCTAGGTACAGAAGAGTTCACTATATATGATGTTTGTGTAGAGAATAGCAAATGTGCAATTTTAATTCTCTAAACTTTTATTATCTTGAACAGTGTTGTTTTGTGTTAATATTGCACGTGTTTTCTTTAAATAGGGATATATTTTATGTATGTGTTGCATTTTAAATTTGTCCTTTTCTCTTCATCATCTTGGGAGATAAAATGGAGTAAGGAAGAATAACTGTCCCAAAGTCAGCCTGTGAGTTCTGGGGTGGAGAAAAGATCTCCCTGTTTTTTCCCTTCTTAGGACATTACACCTATTGTATCCTTGGGGATATGATGATTATTGTCATTATTATTTACCCCTCTATCAGCTGATTGGTTTGCTTTGTGCTTTCCTGGCAACTGCCTAGACAAAATTCCTTCAGTTTTCTTGGCAACGTTTTTGGAAACAGTTTGCCATTGCCTCCTTACTAAGACTGAGAATGAGTTACTGGCCCAAAGTTACTCATTTGGCTTTGTGCCTGTGGTAACTAGAACTCATATCTCCCAGTTTCTAGCCTTAACCACTACACCAGTACTGACTCTCCCTCCATCAACAGTCTTAGTGTAAATAGGGTTTCTTTGTTGTTATAATGCAAATGGTAATTGCTTTACTTCTTATTTATATTACTACCTGTATTAATAACATTGATGAGGAATTAATTTATAAGACAGTCCCAATTTATGTGTGGAAGGGAAAGGGACTACATGGCTTCTCCTTGACTGGGTAGAATTCTCAGTTTAGGTACTTTATCAGTTTCTGCAGCAAAGATTAATCATTATTGTTTTCCTGTTTTTTAATAGGAGTCAGGATTACATCAACAGTACAAGTGTTAAAACTTATCAAACAGGCCGGTGAAAGAGTCACTATATATTATGAGAGACCAGTTGGCTATAGTCAGCAGATGTTAGTCCAAGACAATCTTTCTCAGATGGAAGAGACAACATTTTCAGATGACTATTTGCTGAATGAAATAGATAACAAAGAATTAGATACAGAATTTGAAGACTTGGCAAATGTACTAAAGTCAAGTGAATTCAAAGATGATTCTTCAAGCAGTCCCAAGCACATACCAGTTTCACTTGCTGGTAAACCACCTGGAACGCTATCTCCAGTATTAAATCGCAAGTTGCATCTAGGAAGTTATCAGCCATCTCCAAGGGTACTTTTCAAGGAGACATCCAGACCAGCAATACACAAAACTCCTGAGAATTTGGATATAAGTCAACAGACAAACAAACAGTCACCGCTAAATGTAACCAAACCACCTGTCCCACCCAGACCACAGATTAAAGTGCCAGCAGTTTCTAGTGAAGTTCAGAATAAATTAGAAACTGGCGACTTATCTTCTGAGAAATTGGACAAACTGCCTCTTCCTGCTAATAATGGAGACAAGGATTCAGAAAAGATAATCAGAATTATTGATCTAGGAGAAGAATCTACAGGATCCAAACCAATTTCTAAGGAGTCTTCAGAAAGTTCACAGAGTTTAAAAATAATTGCAAATAAATCAGAAACATTAAAAGAAAGTACAGAATCTCAACAGAATATTAAAGCACCTATCAATAAAACTATTTCAAGCAAATCAGAATTATATAAGGACCTATCAGAGAATTCACATAGTTCACTGAATGCTAAGGCAGTAGAAAACCATAATTCATGGGAATCACCAGAAATTCCTTACCGTAATCGAGCAGGTAAATGGGCAAGGACAAAAGGCTCCTCCTATTTATTTGAAGTAGGAAAAGAACACACTTACCTAAATATTGGTGTTTGGTGTAGAGACCCTTTCAAAGTAGGTGGGCTTGTTTGTTTGGGATATGAAAGTGTGAAACTTGAAGATGTGGCTTTAGATTGTATAGCTACATCTTCCATGGAATTCATTAGACCATTTCGATTAAATCCTCCTGCACCCAAAGCTGCAGTAACTAGAACAGCATTGCGCAGTTTGATCTCACACAAAGGTTTCAATGAAAAATTTTGCTACGGTGATGTCACTGTACACTTTAAATATTTAAAAGAGGGTGAACCTGAAGACTCAACTTTTCTGTTGGAAAAAGATAAAGAAAATATTTTAGAAGAAGCAGCAGCTCCTGATCTTTCAAAAGAGGATCCTTATTTTGGACAAATTACTTATACTGAAAATAGGCATAATTTCCAAGATACTCAGTTTCAAAATCCAACTTGGTGTGACTACTGCAAAAAAAAAGTTTGGACAAAAGCAGCTTCACAGTGTGTGGTTTGTGCATACGTTTGCCACAAAAAATGTCAAGAAAAGTGTCTGACTGATGCTCCCTTCTGTTTAGGAGCCACAAGACGGCTTGAACGAGTTTTACACCCTTTTAAATTTGAAAACCAAGATTCCACACCAGGACCTCGTGTAGATTCAGAATTAAAAACTGCAAATAAAGCAACAGGCCTAACAAGACACCTTCTTAATACAAGCAGCCGGTTCTTAAACCTCCGTCAAGTTCCTAAAGTTCGTATTAATGAGCAAGGACCTGAAGTGGTAGAACCTTCGCCAAAGCAGACACCACATCCTTCTGATAATGAAGGCAGTGATACAGATACTGGTGGCCCTAGCAGTCCTTCCAAGCAAGTAACCACGCCGGGGATTAAATTACCAAGGAAGGAAGGAGGACTTGATGACAGTGTTTTCATTGCAGTGAAAGAAATTGGCCGAGACCTTTATAGAAGTTTACCTACAGAAGAAAGAATCCAGAAATTAGAGATTATGTTAGAAAAACTTCAATGCGAAATAGACCAGGAACTGGAGAGCAACAATTCCTTAATTAGAGAAAAGAAAGAAGCATCAGATACAAGGAAAAAAAGGCAATTGGCTGCTGCACTGGCTAAATCAGGCGAAAGGTTACAAGCCCTGACACTCCTTATGATCCATTATAAAGCAGGCATTGAGGATATAGAAGCTTTAGAAAATAGTGCTTTAGAACTTGGATCTAGAAAAGAGGATAAAGAGGAAGAAGACAACAACTTAGTGGAAGAAACAGATAATGAAGATGAGGCTGCTTTAGTAATGGCACCAGTACTTGAAACCCTGCTCAAAGAAGAAGAGAGACTTGAATCCCAGAATGCATCTGTAGACTGATATTGCACAGTTGGTCTTGCAAATGATAAACTGGGAAATACTTTGCACTTAATCAAACTACATCAGATTTCAAAATTGTAATTAAACACTGAGATAATATATATAAGCTGCTTCTCCATTATTTTCAAAACCCATGTAAGGAAATGACTTTTATTTCCAGGTACAATATGGTTTTATTTTGTTGAACCATGTTATGTTTAAATAACATTTTGGGACTTTATACTAGATGATTTTTAATTTATTTGAACTTTTTTCTAAAATGTATTTCTAAAATATATCAGGGTAAATTGCAAAAAACAAACAAACATTCAGACAGATGTTTTGTTGGAATGAATGAAGCAGCCACTTCCTCCATGAGACCCAACACTTTTTTTGAGGGCTTTCTCCAGTCATCTCCACAGACATGTTCACATATAACCTGCTTTCTGGTAATTTCAATGGAAATGTTGTCTTCTGAAGGGCACAGCTGCCTCTCTGTTTCAGGAAAGATCCCTTTGCTCACACCAACACCCTTCCTGAATTGCCTTTGAAATGCTTTGCAGAGTTTCTGTTCTCATTTTTTTTTGTTCCTTTCGCTGTTCAGTTTTAAAACTTTGCATTTTAATTTTGTGCTCAAATTAGAACTACTGTAGCAGCTGCTGAGGGGCCAGTTTTGAAAAAAAAATGTTATACTTTGCCATTTGCTTATTCAGTATATTTTGGAAAGGGGATTGTGACTTTCAGGGTTGTTTTTTTTTTCCAATGATGCATTATAGATAACATGCCTTTATTTTCAATTATTTGGTAACATTAGTATTCCATTGTCTGATTTGTTGGATTTTCTTTCACAGAGAAGTCTTTTAATTTTTTTGAAAAGGCAATTTACATTTTACTCTTTCCTTCTATGAATTTATTAGAATCTTTAGCAGGAAAGACCTTTAAAGCACATATCATTGAAACATTATCAGGTTCTATTTTCCCTGCTCAAAAGCACCCATAGGCATTCCTTTTTGCCTATGCACATGCTATACCAATATTTTATAGAAATATATTGAGAATGTACTACAGGTTTTATTTGTTCCTGTAACTACATGGAATCTTCGTAAAACATACTCTTCTATGATGTAATAATGTTAAGTGCCCATGAAAAAAATTAATGGTAACTTTACCAGTTTTATTTTTTTGAAAGAATCTAAATATTAAGAATTAATATGTAAAAGGATTTTAAACATTAACACTAATTTGATTTATTTTCTGGTGGTTCTGTTGATAGAAAAACAAATAAATTACTTGCTCAACATCTTAAAATTCTCCCTGTAGCCCTCACCCACCCATTGAATCCTGATTCCAGCAACACTAAAATAAACTTTGGCCTCATTTCTGGGGGGAAAATATCAACTGATCTGAGATGGGGATTGTTAGATTGGTGTTTCACACACATATTAATGTTTTGTTTTTATGTACTTAATTATCATTTTTGCCATTGCGTTATAAAATACTTTTGTAAAACTAAATAAAAAGATAGCATCCTGCATTACTCCTACTTGACTAAAAGCAACCACTTACGCTACTGCATAGAAACTTTTTGCTGTTATAATGGGAACAAACAATGTCCTAACATTTTTAACTTTACAATTTACCCTTACAATAAAAAAGTAAATGGTTCAACTGAATAGTTGCCAAATTAACATAATCCATATTTTTTAAAAAGATAAAACAATTTTAAGTATTTTCCCAAATGAACCAAAAATATTCAATCAACACTATATTTAAGAAATATTATCTTTCAAAAATCATCAGCTTAACAAAAGTTTGCATAAATTGGGACATTTTCCCTTTAGTTTCTGTCTAGATACTAACTTGAAAATGAGAATACAAAGACAGAAATATTAGATATTAGGTATACTAATCTAATATCTTATAATGGTTACCTGTTTATGAAAGAGGCATGAAAAGTTGGATATCAGTACTCTACTATGACGATTGTATAATGTAAGATAAATATAGTGCAATATTCTAACCATTGCGTGAGAATGGCAGCAAAATAATAGTATGTAGCATCAAGGAAAACATAGAATTATAATAAATGCTGTTTTTAAGAAGAATTATTGATACATTCCTTTTATATATTTTGCTTCTCTGCTTTACTATACACAGTTGAAAATAATAAATACCACTAGATGCAGGAATATCTTGATGTGGTGGTATGTTATTACTTGACACTAGCATATATTTATGGAAATCTGCCTGAGATGATTGTCAGAAGATTTTATCATGAAAACAAGCTTTAATAAAAGTTTTTAAATAAATTCTGTTTCTTTGTTATAAGCTGTTAAATATTTAAATATTTGGCACATAATTAAAGGTTTCTTTTTTATTTATTCCACACTATGTTATTTTCTAGAACAACGACTTCCAACTTTTCCAGCATTTGTATATTCAGTAAAACTGGTGGAAGGGTTGTGGATGAAAGATAAAAGGCTTGTGTATCTGTAATGATGCTACGGCCATTCTTTGATAGGCCTAGGTAGAGTTACAAATTCCCCACAATGGAATCTTCTATGGAACCTTCCCCATCCTGATTCCTGCCCAATGTTTTTTATTTCAATTTTCATCAAGAGTCAGCTAGCTGTGTGTGTAATCAGGAGCTAGGCTTTACATTGCTAAAAGGCTAGATAGGATGGAGATTGAGATTGCCCACTTTCGTACAATATGTACTTGGCCTTCTTTCTAATAACACATTTTCTAAGGAGCTTCTCCACATTTGCAATACTTTCTGCTAGAAAAGATTTAAGATTGTGAAATACTTATTCTTTGATTGAATTATCAAATTCTTGATAATTATCCAATTCTTGATAAATGTGAGGAACTTAAAATCATAAATTAAAACATTGTCTTGGGAAGATTAAATGTTTGTTTTCATAAACATTTTTGTATTAAACTTCTAATAACAGAATTCTTAAAACATACTGTGTAATGCAACTCCTTGAGGTTATAGCAATCTAAGACCAAATATACTACTAGGGATTATATTCAATAACAAAATCTCATAGAAGCAGTTCTGAATGCTTGTATTTGTCCTCTAAGATTATCAGTATGACTTTTCACAGAGAAGCTATTATCTAAAAACATGTTACCTAACATACCTATTAGAGTGAAAAAAATAATTTATATTTTTAAAAAATGAAAAATCAAGTATCTGTTTTGAAAAAATGTACAAGAAAAAATAAAGTAGATGAATATAAATAAAAAATAATTTTGTAGAGGAATTGGTAAATTCAGCACAATACATTTAGACATGCAAGGTAACTTTTGAAACAATATGCTACATTGAAGCCAAATACAGATTAAGGTAAATGCTTTCTCTGTAATAAAGGTAGCACTAAAATAAATGTGGTACAATTTGTTGATTTGATTTGATTCAATTCTTACAGCCATGTGCCAAAAGTAAAATGGATTAGAACAAATTAATTGAAATCACACCTCAGCCTCTTAGTTTATTATCCAGTGGCAATGTTTATAGCAAGAAGAAAACAGAGTAATTCAAATCTGTCTCATAATGTTCTGATTCAGAAATCTCCAGCACCACTTACTGTCTATTGTGCTGTCATAAGAAGAGTAACTGAAGGAAGAATAATGTCTGACACTCTCCTCTTTTCACAGTGGGGTTTTCTTGTTTAAACTTCCTATCCAGAATTTAGGGAGTCTGTTGAGTTGTGAATTCAGAGCATCTGTTTGTCTGTCCAACATCTGAGTTTAGAGGAAGAATTCTGCAAATCGGTGAGAGATTGGGGGATCTAATTGTCATCTAAGATAAGATTTTTGAATTCTTATATGAGGGCAACTGTTTACTCTTCAATGTATAGAACAATTTTAAAAGACTGTTTTCTTTTGCACCATAGTACAGAGGGGCCACCAACTGAATTTAAAGAATTTTTTTTTCTGAAATTCAGCATAGTCATTTTGAGAACTGTCATAGCAGTGGAGAAAGGAGATGAAGACTTGGTGTCTTACCTTTCTGAACTAATCGGCACATTAACAGTACTGAAATACCACACTGTTGCCTTTTATTTCTTTCACAAAATAACATTCCATTCTTATTTTCTGTATAACAGAACAATAACAATTCATCTAAAGCATTTCCAAAACTTGACCAAAATATATGTTTTATACATGGAAATGACACATAAACACACATTTTACAAAACTAGAAAGTATCTGTTTTAAATACAAACTATCTGCTGATACATTAGAAAAGGCACAGAGATCAAGTTTACAAACAGGGTGTTATGTGTACCACACTACATAAATGTTTGATACTTACATGGTCTCAACATTTGTTGTTGTTTTTATTTTCACAACTAAGGCCATAACCCATGGGCTCATTTCAACACTGAGAGGACACTGTTACACGAGTTGATAGGTTGAAATATAGGCCATTATGTATTAAGAACCATCATGTTACCTGCCTCCCATTTGTCAAGCTAGTCAGTCTTGAAATCTCTAATCCTTCTTTGCATATTCTTCAAAAGCACAATATGTTGTAGACTCTCACTCAAGGAAAGATGTTAATCCATTTCTATCTGCTGATGTCCAGAGCATACTTGCAAACAAAGTCCATGAATAGACTTTGTATGAATTTCATTTTGTGCAGACACCTAAAAATCTGAGATTAAAAGGCAGGTGTGTCCTACAATTTTGTAATTTGCAAAAACAAAGCAAACTTTAGAAAAATAAAGCTTTTTAACATGAAGTGTCTGTCAGATATTTTACTTATTCTAGTACAAGTCTACTAGGGAATATATCTACCTGGTCTTTAGTGCTGATAGTTTTGTTTCTAGTTTAAATAGGCACAGATTAGAACAGATTTATCCAGAAGTATATAGAGATTAAAATGCAGCATGAGGATTCATTTTAACTTCAGAAACAGATCATCTGCTATAGCCATTCCATTTTGATCTTTGAAGCAAGATTTGAAATAACATGGGAAAAACTGGATTAATTATCCTTATTTCTTCATTAAATGGGAAAACTAAATGCTTCATTTAGTTTGTGGACAATGCATGCCAAACTGCAGAAATTGGTATAGAGATTTTGGGGCTATGTTCCTTGAAAAAAAAATTTTTTTTTAATGTCCCAGTACTGGATGTTGTTTTTGTGACATGTTCAAATTTGTAGCATCTGTAGCTTCCTTGGAAAGAATCATCCAAACTGAATTTTGAATAGGTAGAGAATATAAATCAAAGAACTTCTTGTAAATAATTTTCTTTTTATATGGAGAGGTTCATTGCTTGGAAACTGGGTAGGTCAGGTACTTGACATGAAGAAAATATTAAACCATCAACCATGCAGCAGCCTAGGATGAAAGACTGAATAACAATGAGGCACAGCTCATAGAGTATGTGATATAACTAAAGTTACTTCTTCAGAATTCCCAAAGCTATAATTGGGTCCTGTAGGATCATGGAAACAACAATTCCTTTCATGTAAATGACAAAAAGGTTTCCTGCATTGTTTGCAGCATGTTGAAGCTCCAGATCAAGACTTGACTTTCCATCCCAGGGAAATAACAAATCTGTTCTGAATTATCACATTTCAATCTGGGGGTTGTCTCGACCTCATACACACTCTATTTCAAACTTACATAAGCAGGAATCATATATATATATCATATATATATATATATACTTCGAATCTTACGCGGGAGAAAACCCGAACAACCAAAGATCCATATATATATATATGGATCTTTGGTTATTTATATATATATATATATATATATATATATTTCTGTACAATTTTGAATGTGATGAATGGTCATTTGAAGCTATTGCAAAGCTATCTGAAGTTTACATATTTAGATAATGCAGTAGGCAATGTTTATATGAGGATAAGACATCAGATTTGGGCAAGTTAGATGAGATTAAAAAGCAATGTTCAGTGGAAGGTTATTAGTAGCAATGCAAAATTAAGATGAACCTATTAAATACTGTATATCAAACTTTTCTTTCCCAAATGCCACATAGTTTACAATGAAATTGATTCTCTATTAGCCATATAAAGTTTTGTTCACTCTACATCATTCTGAATTAGGTTAAGTGTAAGAATAGTTTGAAGTAAAGTTAATTTGAAAAGTGCAAAGTATTATATAAATATCTTTAAATAGACAATCTGAAAATTTATAATTACTAGTTTCAGGCACTCATTGCTGCAATGAATTAAATGAAAATGTATAATAAGGGAAACATTTAAATTAATATTGGATCTAGATGGAGATGTATACATTTACAAAATGCATAATGTTAAGCAACAATTTTTTACAACAGAATCTTCTAATATATATTTTTTCATAAGGCAATGGGTAATCTTGATCCAGGACAATAAATAACTACCTTTGGTTTGGTTTGGTTTTACAAGTTCACAATTAAAAGAGCAATACAATTAAAACTTTTTGATGAGATGGATCATTGAATTACCAATACCAGCTTTTAAATATTATTCATCACTCTCACGTTCTTCATCATCATCATCTAATGGATCTGGTTGGATGCTGTTCTGGGTATACATTTTGGTTTTAAAATGACAGTTTTGATCCATAAGTATTGCCTACAAAAGAACATAACTATTATATTTCCAAAGCATATCATTGTTTGTGTAAGAACAGAAGACTTGTCACTTAAGTATATAGCACATAAGATTAATTTTCAAAAGTTTAATCTATTTACTTGCTTTATAACTAGTGTTTAGCTTTAAATATAAAATACTTAAGATAGCTGTCCTGTTCAATAAATATAATAATACAAAACAGATTAAGTCAATGGTTTGTGAATTAATTCAAACTAAAACTGGAACTAAAAAGTATTTTATCTATAATTTTAAAAAATGTATCTTATTTAAGATACTATTTCAGCTATCTGGATAACATACTGCTATCTAAATATGAGTCTAAAATATTGCGGTTTCAGTCAACTACCAGAGAACAGCAGTTGAACTGTCCAGAGTCATGCAACCAGCTTTCATGCCTAAGGCAGGACTAGAATGCAACAGTCTCCTAATTAAAGATATATTTTAGAGAAAATCTTTGTTAATGTATTTAAAAGCAGTCATGATTATTTTGTTGCAGAAAATGTGGACATGGAAGACATGCTACAAAATGGTTCTATACTGACTCCAGAGAAGAACAAGAGACAGCTCTGCGCTTACCATTTTTTCTTCCTTGGCAGGTGGACTGCGAAGAAACAAACACAGGGGAGCAAAGAGGATATCAATAAGTCCTATAATTGTCATGAGCCATGGAAATCCAAT